GAAGGAAGAATAACCTACAATAATTGGATGAGGGAAAGTGACTGCTGGGAAAATATGTATGGGGTGAGTTTAATATAAACTCTTTGGAATTTGCCATGTCCATAACTATTTCAAATTTAGCCCATAAAGTGAAGGACATAATTAAAAAGACTTACTTAGAGGTATGAAACCTCTATAATGAATTCATATCTCAGGCACAGTGTTTGAGTTTGGGTTTAATTGAATAAGTTTTTTAAACTCATTGGCAAGATTGTCACATTCAGCTGTGTTTCATTTGATTTTCTATTTGTTCTGATTGTCTGATTCTAGCAGGAGCAAACTGCATACAGTGGCTCATTCCAAAGCCTAAAATAATGGTAGTTCAGTATGATATGTGAATCCATCCCACTGAAATTCCTCCATAATGTTGATTTGAGAATGGTTAAGAACACAAGGTAGCCAAAATGTGTTTTGAATGCACTGAGAAGAAAAACACTAACTGGAAGGAGGGAAACCAAGAACTTCAGAAGGAAAATATTTGGAAAAATAATTTTAAAGAAGACCTAGTTTTTTATCTGGAAGCTAAAACAAACAAACAAACAATCTCCACTTTTTGTTTCCAAGTTTCACTTGTATGAATTAACTGAATATCTTTTAGATGCTTTTTTTGTTGTCAGAAATGAGGGCTAAAATTAGTTATACACCAAAGACATTCTAATGAATTAATTCATGCTGACTTTGCATATGGCCAGGCCAAGATCCAGATGGGTTTGGACTGCTGAGGTAGTAAGTTTCGATCTCTCTGCCATAATGAGGTCCCAATTACAAAGAGTAAGTTACCAAGTAGAACAGGTTGCAGAAGTCCCTGTTTGGGAAAAGGGATGTGGCATGCCATTGCCAGGGTTAATATATTCTGTCCCCCCTTCCCAAATAGCAGCATATGAGAAAAAAAGTAATGCCATTTCATCCACATTCATCCCTTGGGTTCATGAAGCATTTTCTGTTCACTGTAAGTCTTTTTAAAATTAGCTATTTATCTTTGATAGCCTATTTTTTTGATACTGTATATACTCATGGATAAACTGTGAAGTTTAGGTTCCAAAATACAGCCATCCATCCCCAAGTGGATAATTTTATCCACAAATAGACTTACCATATATAGTTGAGTTTTTCCTCAGCTTTTAAAAAGTACCCATATACCCCACATATACTTGTGGATAAGTTTATCAGTGGATAAATCCAAAATTTTCAACTGCAGATAAGCCAATTATAAAAATTAAAGCATACAAAAATTTTGAGAGTTGTCTTGTCTGCAAGTATTGCATTTTCATGCTATTTTGATTTAAAATTTGAGGTTTTGCTTATCTACAGATGGGCTTATCTGCAAGTAGTCTGTAGAGATTCTCAGTCAGGTCATGGCTGTCCCGAAGGTGGTTTTTCAGGAGGCAACTGGACTTCCTTGTATTTCTTTGAAGACATTTCACTTCTTATCCAAGAAGCTTCTTCAGCTCTGACAGGACAGTGGGGAATGGAAGGATTTATATTCCTTGTAGACAGCTGGTCATTTGCATCCTTTTACAGGTTCGTTGAAGCACTTGGAGGTTTATCTGTATCCTCAGGGTCACCTGAGTAGTGCTCCTGGTTCCTGTAGTCTGCATTTTTTCCTAGAAATCAAAGAATATAAATCCTTCCATTCCATACTGTTCTGTCAGAGCTGAAGAAGTTTCTTGGATGAGAAGCTAAACATCTTCAAAGAAAACAACAAGGAAGTCCAGTGTCTCCTGAAAAAGCACCCTTGGGATTATCTGCAAGTATATAGAGTCCTCCACTAAGGACTGGGTCTACCAGGCAGGCAAACAGGCATGCTGCTCCTGATTAAAGGCCCAGAATGCACAAAGCAGCAACCTTCTGGTTTGTGGATCAGTTGAGTACTAAGACTTTAAGCATGTTCTACCATGGACAGCTCCCCACCCAACCTGAGCATGTACCAGTTATGTGGGTAAATTTGCCATTTTATGAATAGGAGAAACTTGAGACAAATCTCAGTTTATGTGGTGGCAACTTCTTCCCAGTCAGTTAAAGATGGAAAAGAAATCCAGACGACACAGACTTATTTATAAACATTTTAAGTTCAGACATCATCCTAAACAATATGTGGTTCAGTTCTGACTTTGTGTATTTTTATCAATCTATCCCATTGTGTTTTGTATACTATGGTTTATGGTTTAATATGTGAACTCATCTCAGCATTTTTTTTAAAATAATCTCTGTGTAATATCTTTGGAAATTGAGTGGTGATAGCATAACTGATGACTCAGAAATATCTGGATGACCAGAACACATGATTAATAAATTGTTGTATTTTATATTGTATGCATAGCATTATTCTTCTATTTTTCTCTCACAACAGCCCTTTACTGGACCAGCCATGGTGAAAGATAATGACTGGTTCAAAATCTTCCAAAACTTTATGGCTGAGTGAGGATTTGCATTTGGGTCTTCCTTGATCAGCCCTCTAACCCACACACTGCAATAGCTTTCTAATAATAGTCTGTTTTAACAAGGTCATTCTGGTATTGCCATCAAGCATGTCTTAGTCTATAGGATTTGATGATGGGCTTCTAAGAGAAAGCAATGCAAAATAAACCAACCATACTTATTCTCCTATGATCTAATTCAGCCACATAGTCTTCTTGCTATTTTTATTTCTTTACAGAATTCACATGTCAAATCCATGCAGTGTTTTCTAGATAATGAGAATGTGCCCATCTGGGGGAAGACACAAAACAAGTCTAGTAAAATGTCACTTTAACTCTGGAAATTTTCAGACCCATATTAATTTATTACAGCCTCTAGGGGACATTTGGTTTCAAAGCTATTACATCCAACACTTGCTTGCTTTATTGAAAGGTGATGAACTGAAAAACAAAATAGAAAAACCCGACAACCCCCATACACATGCACACAAATCTCTAGTGTTTTTGGGGGGGCGGATCATAACCACATTAATTTACCATAAACATAGCAGAAAATGTGAATGTAATTAAACGGAAATATTATAAATTATTTTTCCATCTGCCATTTTTGCAAGGAATGTCATTGTGCAAATAATCATCTTAATTGTAGAATGTACTGAAGATGAAATGTTTCTTTTCCAAAACTAAGTTCTTTTATTTATTTATTCAATTTCTATAGCCATCCAACTCAACCAAGTAACACTGGGTGGTTTTGGAAGTATAGTGAAGCAATTATAACATAATCTATACCTTTCCCTTTGAATTTAAACTGGAGATTTTTAATCAGAAAAACTCTTTGGCACATTCAGGTCAAGAAGATACTAAAATTGCCCTACCCCTTTCTGGATAACTTAGTATACCAGCTTCTTATTAAATATGTTATTTGCTAGATGTGACTTCAGTTGAACTCTAAAAAATTCAGTCTGTTAATATGAGGTCATGATCTCTTCTACTTCAGTGAACATCTTCCCTAGTAACAAATTAGTTTGACTAAATGTAGCTTGATAGCTGACATTGCCTACTGGATAACTTCCTGTATATCCATTGTTTCTGATAGTTAAGATACCAGCACTGATCAAAGGATAAACACATGAATACCCTTTGAAATTCTACAGAAATTGCTGCATAAAGGGTAAATTCAGTCATGTTGCATGCTATTATTTGTTCCATGTATGGTATTGTTAATGAGAAATGGGATATGGGATATGGAGGAGAAATTGAACATACCCAGTGGCCAATATCAGATTATATATTTATTTATCACATATGTACCTTACCATAGATTTCTTATACTATATACTTGTTTAAGGTAACAGGTGGGTCATAATCTCACTTTATTATCAGATAGCAGTGCAAGGTCTCCACTGGATGTCACAGCTGAGTTCAGGTGTCCTGTCAAATCTAGTCCTTATATCTGAGACAGGGATGCAGCATTGTGGCCTTTCAAATATTCTCATCAGCCTTAGTGAGTTCTACTTATGGTTAGGATGAGGACAGCGGCTGCCACATGATATACAGAAGGTTATAGGTGTCCACAGTTGAGCAGGAGATTTTAAGATTTCAAATGAAAATTGTGCTTTTAGTATTGCATATACTGATGCATAGAGTATCTCAGGCTTCAGCCAGAATTCAATTTTCTTTTTCTTTCTTTCTTCTGCAGTTCTGTTTTAAGCATCTATATGGATGTGATTGTTCTTTACTAGATGTTTTCCTGTGTTAATCTAATCTCTTGAAAAACTTCAGTGTTTCACAATTTTGAAGACACGTTCCTTTTGAAAGGATGAAGGCTTCTTGCAGGAAGGATGGTAATTTTACCCCCCAAGTGCTGGACATCATTGTATGGTTTTGTAGGAGATGGTGCGTGCCAAACTGAAACAAAAAAAGAAACATCCATGTCTTAATTTCACCCTTAATATTTCATATCATCTGTCAAATGCTTAAACCTCAAGCAAAACCACCCCTTAACATATCAAAATATTGGTATTCTTTCTATATTGCTGCTAGAAATCCCATAAGATCTCATATAAGAATACCATGATGGTGGTAATTATGATAATTTAACTAATTCCATTTTCAATGATCTCTGATGGTCCTTCAATTCATTTGTTTGTTTGCTGTATCCTGTCTCTCTGCCCTACCAACTCCTTTTCTATACTTCTGCACATCAGTCTGACCACAACTTTTGTTTTCTTTCCAAAATCTTGAGATGTTTTATTCCTGCAGAACAAGGTAAGGAGATTCTTGCTAGGATCTGCAATATTTTGCTGGGAATTGATCTCCAGATGTTTTAGAAAGATAAAATGTTTTATGGAAAGAAAGAAGCTCCTTTATAGGAAGGTTGATGATAATGAGGCAGATACTTTTGGGATGTGGTTTGCTGTATAATGTATACAATCCACTTGGCTATATCTATATCTGTAACTGCATTAAATTCAGACCAACAAGAACATATGTGCTAAATACACAAACAAATAAATAACAGTAACACCTTCCAATCTCATTGTACTATTTCTTTGTTTTCTTCTTTCCACGGCCAGCAGGTTTTTTCTTCTCTTCTACTTTTAGTACCTCCTCTTCAACAATAGGCTCTTGCTCTTCTTCACATTCCTTAAAATTGGTAGTATAAATACTGGATATGGAGAAAAATCAAAGAGAAGTTTACATTGTAGATAACTATTCCATTTTCATGTTTCTCATATGGACACTAGCATCCGTTTAAAGACCATACCCAGTATGGCAGAGCTCAGTTTAGCAGAGCTTTTTATTAGGTTCCAGGGTTTCTTCTCCTAATCATTGCAGGTTTTTGCAACATTAGGGGAAAAACACATTAAAATAGTAAGCATTATATCAAAGTATTAAAGAGGAAGGGAAGGGAGAAAGGAAGGAAGGAAACTCTGAAATCCCTGAAATCTATGAATATTGTAAAATGACAACTAAGAAATAAATACAAGCTACTATTTCAGAATATTTTTAAAAGCAGAAAAAAAATAGAAACTTTGTTTTAAAAACAGAAAGAAAGTTATAAAAATAGATAAGCAATGACTGGTTAAATGTTTTAAAATGGAAGCTGGATGGACTAACTGGATTTCAATTAACAAGTGATAATAATGCCCTTTAAAGCATATGAAAAGCCCAAGTTGCCCTAAACGCCTGTCTTCTTTTTGTTCTCAGGCTGCCACCTTGTAGCAAAAACGTGAAGACAAGTCTCAGCAGCAAAATGCATTATGAAAAGCAGGTAGATACAAATTTAATTTACATAATTTACTATGAATGCATTACCTGAGTTATGCTAGAAAATGCATTGGACAGACCAACGGGCCGGATGTGGCCCCCGGGCCGTAGTTTGCCCACCCCTGGTTTAAGGTGACCGGGCGGCTTACAGTATAAGAAGTGGCAGAAAAGGCTCTTCTCTTGTTGGGGTCTGAGTGGGCCCCTTCTGTCAGAATGAGTGGGGAGGACCACTCCCCTCCCCTTGGGGAAAGGTGGTTCCTCAGATATCCTGGACTCATGCCATTGAACAGGGGTGCGGAACAATGGCCCCTTTATGACTTGTGGACTTCAACTCCCAGAATTCCTGAGCCAGCATGGCTCCACAAGTCATAAAGGGACCATTGTTCCCCACCTCTGCCATAGAGGGTTTTAAAAGTGATGGTCAACACCTTGAATTGAACTTTTTATGATTCTTAATGACTCTATAAAGAATTGGGCAGCATATACATTTAAAAACATATACATGTATAAAAATAAAATAAATTAAAAATAAATAAATAAAATGAGTAGAGTAGAGAGAGTAGAGTAGAGTAGAGTAGAGTAGAATAGAATAGAATAGAATAGAATAGAATAGAATAGAATAGAATAGAATAGAATAGAATAGAATAGAACAGAATAGAATAATCTTTTTTCCTTTGAAAGCAAATCCAGCCTACTGATTTAAAAAAAGATGGGTCAATTTTGGGGTAGAAATTCTCAAACAGGACGTGAATTTGAATGACTGTTTCTACTTAGCATCTGCTCTAGAATGCATGCTGTATTGCCTCTACCAAGGAGATTTCTCAGGAAAGGCAGTATTTGATGCAGCTTGCTACAATTTGGTCACTGGTTATGGATTCAAAGAAATGCACCTCTGGGAATGTGGTGCATCTTATCTTCTTTTTAGCCATTTGACTGATTGCTCTTCGATCCTTCTAGTTAGGACATTGAAAAGATTCACCCTTTATCCTCTCCCGTAAACAACCTCACCAACAATATGCCAACTATGGCAGTCTTATTTACTGAAACACCATATGTATGCATTCAGTATCAAATACATTGATCGGATTTTGTCATCTGTATTGTGATCTTCGGATTCTCTGCACCTAATTGTCATTTTCATACTGAACTGACTTGTCAGAAAAGTCAGGAAGGACAAAAAAGGAAAAGACAGATAAGAAAAAAAATATGGGAAAAAAGCTGCTTTTAAAAAACCAAGAAAATTTACTTTTTCAACAAAGATAAAACATTTAGGACTATCTTGGCCCTAAATTCATTTCCTTCAAAAAGCATGGAAATACTTTTAAATCAATCTGATAAAACCATGGTTTGAAGGCAGAAAGCTTTCAAAAAGTCCTTTGCAAGCCAAGTAAAGTGGATTTTTTTTAAAAAAAAGGAATATTATAATATCTTCTCAGTTGTCATTAATTAAAAGGTAGTAAATATCAACAAAGAAAAAAGGGTATAAAAACATTCTACTCTCTACCAACCCACCTGTCCACTGTAAACTTAAAGGACATTTTAGGTCCTTTTAGACTAGAGGTCACCAACCTTTTGGACCTCAGGGACCACCAAACTCATAATTTTAAATCCCGCGGACCACTAATATGAATTTTGACTTATGGTGGCTTGCTGACGTTGGTGGGAAAGTTGGTCTCGTATTCCAGAGCTGCAATAGTCACAGGAGAGGCCCTTTGGTCATTCCGGAGCAGCTCCTCCAGTCCATGGCAGGCCGGTGCACCCGGGAGGAGGAGCAGCTGCTCCGGGATGACCAAAGGGCCAATCCTGTGACTATTGCAGCTCTGGAATATGGGACCGACTTTCCCACCAATGTCAGCAAGCCACCTCAGGGCAGATTTCCCTCCCCCACCATTGCTCTTACTTTCCAGTTCCAGCTTGTGTGGCTCTAATCAAAGTAAGGTTTGCGTTCTGCCGAAGGGTGGGGGCTAGCAGGTGGACGGACCATGTGGGCAGCGCAGCCTTATGTTCCTGTGCAGCCTGGATTAATTGTTTTGGGGGGAGTTCTTTGGGGGGGACATTTCTCTGCGGACCACCACAATTTTCTCACGGACCACCAGTGGTCCCCGCCCCACTGGTTGGCGACCACTGTTTTAGACTGCAGACTGTCATTTAGGTCCTTTTCTCTTCTATGTGGCATAGGAAGGGGCAACCTGGTTAGTTTGGCCTCTACATAGTTTGGCCTATAGCTTCCAAACCCTTTCCTATTGCACTTGCTACAGGAGTCGATAAGAATCAAGCCTAAAATCACCTGGAGGTTATCTGATTGCCTGTCCTGTCTAATGTGATGCTTGTTCTACCTTTTTTTTTTTTTTAATTTTAAGCCAATTCAAAACCTCCTGGCTTGCTCAAATAACAAATGAAATGTTCATGTTTTTTTTTCCTAGTGCCAGATGGTCTCAAGAGGGAGCTGGAGCAAAAAAAAAAAAAAAAAAGTTCCTGGAAACCACTGCAGCCTGTCAAAGCATTTATAATACATATTTATCTATCAATATAATGTACTGATAAATTTATCAGCCACTTCAGTCCAGACTAGTCTCAGCAATATACAAAAAAACCCCACACCCACACTCCCACCCAATGCCATAATGTTAATTTCCCGTGCTATTTAATCACACTGACCTTTCTATACTTTGGTAAGAGGGCTTCTTCGGAGGTTCAGCAATAGGACTGGGGAAAAAGAACAAATCTCTTTTGAAGAACGCGGAAAGTCTTTTTGTTTCACCCCTTATACATATCTGCAAAGAACTGCTCAAATGCTTATTGTGTATATCTTGCCTTAAAACAAAGTTGCAAACAGCGCAAACTAAGAATACATAAACAAATCAGCTTGGATTGCATTGTGGCAGAGTGGTTAAGGTGGCAGCACCTTCTGGTTCTTATCATTGGAAAAGGATTGGGACTTGCATTACAGCACCTGATGCTCTGGCATCCCTATACCCCTTGCCATCCCTGGAGATGCCATAGGTTCAAGTATTTTATTTAGGACTAGGGAGATCTATATTCAAGTCCACTGTCAACTCTGTGTGCTCACTTTAGGTCTGATAGCCCAAGCAGCCTCAAAGAAAGGGCAAGGGGGTAGAAAGGGTGTGCTGACCCCCTCCCCATTGTCATGGATACTATAAGTACATATATATCAAGAGGAAGAGAACGAAAGCTTGAACATTAATGACCTTAGGGTTTGTTTGTTTAGAAAATGAATTAATTGCCCTCTCTTGCTATCACACTTTTTCTTTCACACACAGCCCACCAATGTTTTATCAGTTGTAGTATTATTTTTATGAAACTTAGAGTCATGTTGTTGCAGTGAGAATGCTGGACTGGAATCCCAAAACCAAGGACTTACCTGACCACAGAACACAGTGAGTGACAGATCAATAATTTTGCTCCACCTATCCTATCTCATAGAGTTAAGCTCCTTAGAAGGAAGTTAGCATACGGGACATTAATATCGTGTTTTATTCCATTCCTATCTCCATTTTATCCTCACAACTATGCTGCAAATTACATTAGATTGAATCACATGAATGCTCACTCAACTCCACAGATGAAGACTAAAGATTTGAACTCAAACCTAACAACTGAATCACTATCTTGCTCTGTATACTCCCATGATAACTTCAGGATTAAGTAACATGTATCCATTATTCAAACTATTCCAAAATCACAGTCCATGAGAAAGAAGATCTACTTTAAAAGCAACATATATACAATGAATTACAACTCAGTACTCATGCTTGAAAAATATCCCTATTCCTACTGTAATTACATGTTACATTGTTTCCACTTAGCTCACAGGCTAAATGTTCTTACAATTAAAAAAAAAACTCATATTACTTTTAAATGCCAAGAGATACAGAACCCAAGTCTACAAAGAGTTAAATAATTTAGCAGAGAGCATTTATGAAAGGCCTACCTCACCTGCTAAAGATTTCAGAGAAGTAAAACAACTTTATCATATGAAACTCATGGCTTGATCACTTAATTATTTTTTTAATTTGAAAATTTAATCAACACAAGGAGTAGGAAATAGATGATCTACAGTAAACATTATTCTAATTAGCTCGTGTTGAATGAATGACAATAGCTTGTTGCTTGGTTCCCTTCTACCCCAGCCTCATAAACACAGAACTTGGATTGCTAAGAGTCAAACACTTATAATTTCCTACATAAGATTTCAAGTTTTCTTTAGTTTGGAAATTCTGAAAATCTCACAAACTGCTGACATTTTTATGTGAAATTCTGATGGCGTCACATAAAAGTGGATGCAGTTTTCTATCATGTGTGAGGTGTATGGTATCTACACACCTGCATTATGACATAGATTTGTATGCTGATGCTTGAAAAGGCTATCAATCTCCGATTTAGAGTCAGACAATGCAAGAGCTAAAATGAACCTTGGTGATCATTTAGTCGATCATTTAGTTTGGACCTTTGGCTCAAACCAGCAAAGCTTTCTTTTTGTTGTTTGCAAAGTTTAGTTGTATATAGTTATGAAATGGGATGGTCGTATCCAACGAAGGATATATTTCCTGCAGATGTAAAGGTTGCAGAGCAGGTCAAATTTTTCTTCAGCACGTGCAATGGTAATTGCAGAAAGTCATTGAAATTCTCGTTTCCAAGCAGATGTGGATTCTCTGTTCCAAGCGGTATAAATAAGTCTTTTTTTCTGTTAGGGTGGTCTCTCTATATCAGCAAACTAGGTGAGCGGGCAACGAGTTAAGTAGATCACACACAAAAATTGGGGTGTGTGTGTGTGGATCCAAATAAAAAAAAATTACAACTTTTGTTGTGAAGGGGATACTAATTGCATGGTTTGTCTTGGGCATCTAGCCTAGACCACTGAAGTAAATACAAGGATAGATAAAGCTTGAACAGCATTCTTCAAAATGAAAAAGGTCTTCTGCAGTCATGACATAAGCCTAAAATTGAAAATCAGGCTTGTCAGATGCTATATCTTTTCTATCCTGCTCTATAGTGTGGATAATTGGCCTCTGACAGAAAGCCACTTGAAGAGACTAGAAGCATTTGAAATGTGGATTTACAGGCAGCTGTTACACATAAGTTGGGTTGACAAAATCAGAAACAAGGAGGTGATAAGCCGCCTGGGAAAGCCAAGGGAAATCATCAAAACCATAATAAAGCGAGAGTTAGAATATTTTGAACTTGTGATGCGGCACCCAGAAAAATACGGCATACTTCACTTAATCCTCCAAGGAAAGATTGAAGGCAAACGAGGTCCAGGCAGAAGAAGAACACGATGCTTCAAAATCTAAGGGACTGGTTTGGACAAAACTCAACTGCACTTTTTTGTGAGGCTGTTGATAAAAATAGGATCGCCAACACGATCGCCAATGTCTGATGATGGATATGGCACAAGAAGAAGAAGTTGCCTAGGGCAGCTACTGTTTCTTTGAATTCATTCAACTAGTTCTGATCGAGGAAAAGTTAAAATAGAAACTATTATCTACCATCATAGGAAGCCACTGGGCATTCAGGTAAAAACACACCTACATAACAGAACCTTTTTTTTTAATCCTCGTATCTGCTATTTCCCAATTAAAATGGAGACAGAGCACAGTCGAGACTCCTTTTTTTCCCTTTAGATTTGTGCTTCTGTGACTGCAGTGAATGAATGAAAGTAGAGGGATTGCATCTTGATCTAATGAGACACCATCAATTTCTTTTTCTTATCCCTGCACAAAATCTAAGGAAGATTTAGTTTACAGTTGGGCCAGATAAGGACCAGAACAAATCCCAGGGGGTCAGCAAAGTAATTCACTCCTATGACCCATCTTTCTCTAAAGCTCAGGGGCCTTGCTATAGAAAGGAAAATGTCTTTTGCAAAGGCCAGCTTATTGGATGCTTTGTTAAATGAAATTATGGCTATAGCAGCAAATACATCCTGACAATAAAAGCATGGTATTTTGCTCTTTATTCATATGCTTTTGAGACAGAGGTTGACACAAACATTCAGTTTTGAATTTCACCAGCATGAACTTGGCTCTCACTGAGGAAGTCATTAACAATAAAAAGAATAAAAGACTCCAGATTTGTCTGTGTATTTGTACTATAGTGAGATGAGTTTGTAAGAGAAAAAGTATGTTTTTTTCCAAGTGTTTCTTAGGTTCCTTTGCTTTAAAGTGTATTTGTGTGTGTGTGTGTATGTGTGTGTACCTACATCACACACACACACAATCATCATCATCAGTATCACCAAACATTCCTTAACAAATACATCTATTATTATGAACAAGCCAAAAGGTACCACATGGTATTCAGTCTAATCAGGAATGCAGAAGCAAGCTACATCTGTTCAAATATACAAAATCAAACATGCAAGAGAAAGGAATGGTTTTGTTTGTAGGACAAAGAGTAAATGCCATGATATCTATCGCTATTGTGCATTAAAAATACTGAAAACTAAAAGGCCAAGAGCCCTCGCTTATTTATCAAAATGACATCTAAAAATGAAACATCAAGTCAAGGCCAACTGAAACCTAAGATTTATAGTCCTTAAAATGTAACCTATTCTTTACATTAAAAATTGAAAGAACCCACCATTCCATACAGACCCTATGATTAAAAATATTGCTTCTTTCCCTTCTTGATTACACTAATCTTCTTCCCTGGTCTCCACTTGTTTCCTGGGGTCATTTTACTCAAAAGAAAATTATTCACTCACTACTCAAAATATGTGACAGCCAGCTTATTTCCTCACTCTCTTTGCATTCATCAAAACTGAATTTAAAATTCTCCATTTGCCTTTGATTTTAGGCCACTTTTTGTTAACCATCCTCCAAGTTCAAGGTTTAATCCGTGTTTTCATCCCATTTAAAATGAAGCCAATACTAGTGCCTGACCAGAAATGCTATCCCACCCGGAAGATATCAACTCAGTGGTGGGATTCAAAATTTTTTACTACCAGTTCTGTGGGTGTGGCTTGGTGGGCGTGACGTGGCTTGCTGGGCATGACAGGGGAAAGATACTGCAAAATCTCCATTCCCTCCCCACTCCTGGGGGAAGGTTACTGCAAAATCCCATTCCCCACCCCACCCCACTAACCTGCTTTCCAGCTCCGTTCTCCTGAACAAGGCAACAAAAGAAGACCCAGCCAATCATCTGGGACTCGGGAGACAGAGAATAGACGGGGCCGGGGCCAGTCAGAGGTGGTATATGCCAGGTCTCTGAACTACTCAAAATTTCCACTACCAGTTCTCCAGAACTGGTCAGAACTTGCTGAATACCACCTCTATATCAACTGCAAGAGATGGAACCATCCTGTCTCCCAGCAAGTTTCCACATAAGTTTTTACCCCCATTTCTCCTTGTCACTTTTCAAAGGGAGGCTACTCTGTGCTGCACAGATCTGTTTCAACCAAGAAAGAGAGCTAGGTTCTCCCAGCCATGTGATCTAGTTCTGTTACCCCTGGATAGATGACATGAAGGATGGGGTTCCCTGCCACTTCACCCTTTTTTCGATGCCTGTGACCTGTCAGATGGAATTTTTTGGACATGGGTTAAATGCTTTTTCAGAATAACGCTAGACCCACGGTCAGAAAACAGCCCAAATGACACATCACAGGTGCAGAGCAGTTCCATAACCATATTAGTCAGGCAACAGATGGCTATACCTACTGTTCCAAGCACCCAAATACTCACCTAGCCTTC